GGCAACAGCTTCAGAAGCTTGTCCCCCACAAGTCTTTGACCTGTATGTGGAAGGTAATTGACGTTTCGCTTTGAGCTTAGCGAAGGTAATACGTAGACGACGTTCTAACCAAACGTCTTGCGCTTTAGCGCTTAAACGCAAGTTTGACAAACTTGAGAGCTTACATGCTCGTTCTACCCAACGTGTGACCTGGTGATCATCTTGTGCAGATGTTTCACCTGGTGCAAGCACCACTGGTATTCCGTTTAGTAGGTGCACGGGCACCCCACGTGACTGTCGTGACAGTCGCTCCTGATACGATTTCATCGAAATCTCCTGGGGGAAATTAGCCGCTCACAAAGAGCAACACTATCTGCATTCTTGCAGGCCGTACGGGCATGGGACACATGATATAGGTTCGCAAAGATTGCGATGCAGCTCGTCGAGCTTCCTCATTAGGGTCCTGGGACACGAACCCGTAATCACGTCGTGAAAATGTTTGTTTGGGCCGTGCCAAAGCGGCCGCTCGGGCCTCGTCATCGAGTTGACGTTGCCGTGCATCGTCAAGAGGGTTGGTTACCTCTTTGTCTTTGCCCTCTCCCGAGGGAAGAGGAGGCGCTTGACGCAAAGGGGTTGTCTCTAGTGAAGGGAATGCCACAGATTGGGATCGAAGTCCCCCGCTCGGTGAGCGTGATGATCTTGGGCTACCATGAACCAAAGGAGGTTCGGCTTGCTACCTAGAGGCAACGTCACTGTTATCGTCCCCAAAACTGTCGGGACGCATTGCATCATCCATGATGGAGCAAGCGCTATAGGGACAAGAGCTTTATAAAGCAAATTTTGTGCACACTGTAATACTTTAAAGCAAAGGCTAGGCACTTAGGTCTGTGGAAGCAAGGGTCCGTAAACACACAAAGGGTATTATTACCAAAGTGCTCGGCACTTAACGCTTATACGCAAGTGTCGTAACACACAATTCTTTAGCGTGAGTGCAATGCACTGTATGCTTGGAAAGCGAGTATAATAACACAAGGAGTCTTAGAAAGCATGTGTGCAAAGAACAGGTGCTTAAGGAGCAAGTGTTAGAACACGAAAGCTTTGTTCGCAAGTGCAAGCACTTATTGCGAGGCAAGCAAAATGGAAAGAACATGAAATCGATGCCTCCAATTAAGTGCGAAAATTCGTGGGGACGTCGGGTCCCACGGATTGGTGGGGGAAGGTGTAACGGGGTTACACGAAGGTGTGTATTTTACATACACACCTGCCACACCAATGTGGTGTGGCTGTGCTTTGGGCGTATTTGAAGTACGAGGGGTCACATCGTGGCAGAGAGCCACGTGGTCACTATACTTATTTAAAGTATAGTGACTATGCATATTTGCATAATAATAAAAGACTAAAGAGCCAGTAATAATAACTAGCACTAAGTATAGAGTAGGTGCTTCTATATTTAGCGTTAGAAGATAAACATAAATATAAATCAGTTTCAAACCTGCTCTGTAAGCCTTACAGCTTGAGCATTCTATTCCTTTTAAGGAATCAGTATCGTTGATACTAGTCTCTCTGAGAACTGGTTGTTAATACCGATAGGCATAAGCCTATGAGCTAGCCTAGAAGGGTTGAGCACCCTAAGACGTAGAAGCTCTCTAAGATTGTCCTCCTCTGCACATAGTGCATAAGTAGCTTTGCTATAGTAACTTGGCTACATTCTTCCGCACATAGTGCATCTGCACATAGGGCATAAGGAGCGTGGCTACGATAGCTCGGCTACACAACCAGACTCCCTTGTGTTGTGAAATCTCTCACCAAGATGCTGCACAAGCTTTTAAATTGGTTGAAACCTTCATGTGCAGCTACATTAATGATACCGCTCGTTTTTGTCGTCAAAGTGTGTGTGTTAAACCAGCTACATCACAGAATCGAGCAGAGTTTTTACATTTTCCCTACTATCCTTGACCTCCTTACGCAAAACTATCTCTTGTTAATGCTTCATTAACAAGCCGCTCCCTATTGCTTCACTCGTTTTTCTCGTGTTCATAAATGCCTGCTTTGTCACGTTCGGATAGAAACTTCAACAGCGGTGGATGTTTTTTCTACTTTGCACTAACAAAACAATTGCCTCGCATGTGGTTTTGCTAATGTCCACTTTTTACCCAGTTCCATTTGATTGACTTTATTTGTGTAATGCATTAGATTAGTGGTATCGTCCCACTGGAATACCAGCACCTTTGTCCATTTCGACTGGACCACCATTAAGATCGAAGAACATTGTCTCAAAACGTAGATGGTGTCAATGAGCGTTCCCCTTATGTCGGTCGGTATATGTGACGAGCCAGAAAAAAAACATCAGGCTGACAGTCGCACGAGTTCATTGGTGAATGTTAGTTGGTATACCGTCCTGCAAGGTCGTCAGCTAGCACACATGTCAGCGACCGAAGTGCTGGCGTGTCGATACACGCAAGTAATCATGATCATCCAACACGCCATCACGAGTATCCGACACTAAAACTTTGGTTTGCCTGCAATTGACATTGTTTGAGTTGTATCATGTTTAAGGGTACGCCACCTTATCGTTTAGGCCCGTGTTAGAACCTGCACTGGCAAACGCACTTTCACTAATGCTGTCAAGCAAGAAAGCTCCGCTAATGCTGCATGATCAGAGCTTTGCTGTAGAGGTCAACATTGTGCTGCTAGCCGACCCGTATGCTCATTTGTGTGCCTACATGAAACATAAAGCCACATCCAGTTGAATGGACGAAAACCAGTTTATGATCCTAGTTTTGCGTACCTGATATGGATACCCCGTAAGCATTGGAATAACATCTTCCTGGCAGGGTTGACGTGGTGTAATACCACGAATAGGCGCGTAAGCATAATTGGGCGCCGAGAGCTTATCACGCTGGTTTCTCGTACAGCAGCTACCGCCAGTTAAAGTAGCGGATACCGACATTGTGACGAGCGAATACGTTGGTGATAAGATGACAAACCCTTGCCCTGGCGCGTGAATAAGTAGTAGCGCGCTGGGAACGAACTCAGTCAACAATTGAATGGTGAATTCGTACGTGGTGTGGTGAATGCTTAGAGGAGTGCGATACTGCGACTCTTCCAATTCCATACAGCCAGTGCCCATGCCGATCAAATATACCGCTTTCACAGTGAACAGAACGCAGAGCAGGGTGCATAGCAGCCGTGATCTGACACATCATCAACGTCAACGTTGATCATAAGTCGATAGTCAGTGTGCATGTTACAGTCTACTGGTTACAAGTGACAGTACCTACCCTTCGTAGTACAAGTTGTCTCGGAGAAACAGCCTAGGCGGAGAGCGAGGACACTCCCTGGCGTCCAGTAAAACCGCTGTCATTCCTCATTGCCGCTGACGACAAGTCAAAGAAGAAATCTTCATCGGGGCTTTGGTCACGAAAGAAATGAATGAGTCGGATGCTATAATACCGATCACAATTAGCCCCACAAAGTAGACACCTCCTTGCAACAAGTCACAGCCTTCCAAAGTCTCGCTGATGTGGTCGTCAACCCACACAGCAGCACAAAGCAACATAGAGGAGCAGATGAAACAGAAAAATGCCCTTCTTGGCCATGGTATGCTTTGTACCAACAGGCATAGCACAACTGTGCACGAGGCTGTTGATGGATACAAACAACATGGACGGCAACCACAAGGAGCAGTGCCAATAGTCTGCAACATACTGATGTTGACGGAAGAGCTGTCATTGTCTCCAACATCACCACTTCTGTGAACAGGGAGCAGACACGAAGTGTTGATGCCATAAAGAGCAACAGAAAGAGTCTCTGTCTCATTTCAGAGCCGTAGAAGCTGCTGCTGGTTCCTCTTCTTCCATCAAAGCAGACTCCGAGCCGCCTACGACATTCACAGAAGCAACAGGAGCTTCAGGAACAGAAGAATAGGGTCGTTTATCTGCTAGGGTCGTTCCTTCATGAATCTCAATTGAAGATGCTAAAGAAAGACTGTAAGATAGACGTTTACATTGAAGTACGTATTGATGAGACAGGACACGTCCATATACAATACTTTGTGATAGAAAGAAGAAGATTGTCAAAAGTAATACCACTCGAGCAGCGAGACTCAGTAGTACTTGAGAATTATTGGTAGATCCAATCTCAAAAGTCACTAACATGTTTCTATACGAATATATCGATGAAGGAAGAAAAGATATGAAGAAGAAAAAGAGGAAATGAGAAATCGTATGAATCGATTGAAAAATTAGATACGATAGAAAAACGAGATGATAGAATAACGAGGAAGAGAGATGATAATGATCATGATAATCATGATGATGATGATGATTATCATGATGAAAAAAAGAGAGAAAGCCACGTAGAGTAAACAAGGAGAGATAGTAGCGGTATATATAAATACTGTCCTAAAGTTCATTAATGGCTGACGTGATATGGTTTGACTATTTTTTCTCTAGGTGGAGCTGGAGCTCATAATTGGGGTGTGCCAACAGCAGCTTCAGTTGATGAAGAAGAAGAAGTTGTTGCAGTGGACCGCAATGATCCAAATTACGACAGTTTAGGAGAGAAGTAAGGATGATCGAGTTTATACCATACGCGGAAGGGCTTTGAAAGCAAGCGGGGATTATTAAGTATTTGAGAGAAAAGAGAGATAAAGTTTCATAGGATTGAGAAATGGCTTGTTATCATGAATATTAAATTGGTTATAGCCCATTATTGCTATATATATATTAGTTTTTGCAAGGAATTGTGTTGTTGTTTGTTACACTATTGACCATGTCGTCCGAAGGTAAGCACACGATTCTACCCATCGAATTACCAGTGTCGTACCCATGGCAATGCCATCCATAGAAGTAAATGCGTCGTCTGTATCAGTAATTCCCAATACCATGTGGCAATCTCCTTGTCTTATTCAAAAAGGTTCTCTTGTGATTCTTTTTGAAACACATCAGTCAATTACGTATTGTTATGCTCAATGCAATGCTATTTATCAAAATCGTCATGGTGCTTTTTATCATAACGATATGATCGGTCAACCATTTGGTTCAAAACTTCTCTCTCGAAAGAAAAATGCACGTGGTTATTTAATTCTCTTAGCACCAACTCCAGAACTTTGGAGTCGAGCACTGCGTCATCGTACTCAAATTGTTTTTACACTTGATGCAAGTGCCATCATGTTTGCTGCTGCTTTGCACTCGGGCTCACGTGTCATCGAATCTGGAACAGGTAGTGGCGCCCTCACGACAAGTTTTGCACGAACAGTAGCACCTGATGGTCATGTCTATACCTTTGAGTTCAATGCGCATCGAGCAGAAATTGCGCGTCAAGAATTTAAGCGCAACAATCTTGAGAACGTTATCACGGTGCAATGCAGAGACGCGTGTGCGCAAGGATTCCCTATGGAGCTGAAGGGTTCAATCGATATGGTATTTTTAGACTTGCCTAGTCCCTGGATGGCTGTTGGTCATGCGGCGAAGATGTTGAAGCAGGGAGGATTCTTTGCGTCCTACTCGCCATGCATTGAGCAGGTTCAGAAAACGTGTGATGCTCTTAAAAGCGCTAATTTTGAGTGTAAGTGTAGTCGGTCCTTTAAACATGAGCTAGAGGTGCAGTTGTTTTTATTGCTGACTGTGAGTGTGTTTTATAGTAATTCGTACAATTGAGACGAGGCTGGTGCCGTACAATTCGCGACGAATTGATCTTCCCGTGCCGGACTTTGGATTCGGTAAAAAAGGTGTCAACGAGGACTGAGGCTACGAAGATGACGTGTGTCGAGAAGGAGTTGAATGAAGACATGAGTAAAGACACTAAAGAGGAAAAAGAACTGGAGCGGAAGAAAAACGGCGGATGCAAGCGCAAATATATCCCTGGTGGTGTCGGAGATCACATTGTGGCCAAGAAGGATGATGAGATTCGCGGACATACTGCATACCTTACGTTTGCTACCAAGTTTTTCGAATAAATGGTTTCATGTTGCTTAAGAAAGTCATTTTTCGTGGCTTTGTACCGAATGACGCAGTACTGGGATGGAGGCAGTTAAGGTGTATATAACACATAGCGTGTTTGTATTCTTTTGAATCAATGTCGTTAAAGCAGATTTGCTTGTTACATGTTTGGATCATTAATTTTGAAGTAACACTGCAAATTTTGTAACGAAAAGCGACTGCTAAAATGAGATATCACTTGATCTTATGACGCAAAGGTTGAATGATCACCCATACAAAACGACCTTTGTCGAGGACCTGGAATTACATGGAACCTGCAGACTTTCAAAGCGTTTCAATTCGCTATACTCGATTGACATGGAATGTCCAATAGAATTTTTTCTATCCGAAAGCGATCACGAATTGGAACACAAGCATTCAGATAATTGAATCCACTCCAGCTTAGACCCTTGGTCATGTGTCTATTGTGAATTCAAAATGCCTAGCAAGAATGACAAACTCATTTCGAGCAGAAATCATAGTTTGTGAGACTTACAAGTTGTAGATGATGCTGAGGCGTCCATTCAGCAAGACCACACGGTCTGCCACGTCCTGGTACTAAAGTATTCTCTTGTACGAGCAGTTGAATGCGTCATTGTCTTGCAAAACAAGCGAGAATTTTGTCAATGAACATCGCATCGGCTGGCTCGATGAAAAGCTGACCGATGGATGCGCTCTGATACATTTGCTGACGAGCACTGCATTGACTGTGACATTGCAAAACATAGAGCCATTCTATCCAACGAAACCGAAGTGGAGGATATGATGGCATCCTTAGTGATACTCGGTCGGTCACTACAAATCAATTCCACCATGATTCCGAATGAGAACGGCGTCCGCATCATAAGGCGCTGGCAAAATTCTGTTCGTGTCAGCCCCTTGGACCCCCTATAAAACCCATACGATGCTACCGACGATGTTGCTTGGAGTTGTTGTTGTGTTTACTCAAGGTGTTGTTTACCAGCGCGTCATAAAGAAGTGATTACGATTGTATGATCGTTAGTTGTCATGTTGACGTCGACGTTTTCCATCACTGATAGTCTTGTTGACGAGGGCTTGAGGTGGCTAAGGAGCGCTATGTTACCATCATGATCGTCTGATGATCGGTATCACAAGGCTATAATTAGATCGTATCATACATTCACCTTATCTTTGGTGGAATTTAGTTGCGTCGTTTGTAAGACGTCCATGCATGAACACTAGCAACAGGGAGATTGCACTCGACAGTATCAAATTTACGGATTCAAGTGTGAAGACTTCGGTACCGAGAGATATGAAGGCGCAGAAGGTGGAAGAGATGGCGTTTGCAAATATAGACATCGAACGAAGGAACTTCTGTGGACTACAGCGTGATGACAATTCGGGCTGGACTATTAAATTACCAATAACCAACGCATAGCCTGCATCAGGTCTTGTTCTTAGTTGTGGTCAATCCTCATCATCAGCAACAACACAAAATACGCTATCAGTGACAACAATGCGAGGCGAATTAATAGAGCAAGAGGAGAATCACACAATGAACAGATAGCAACAAACAGATAGCAACAAACAGACATTGGGTTTTCGCTGAAAAGCGTTATTTCAGCAATGAGATAGCACGAACGAATTCTAACTTAATGTTCTTCATCCTTGTCCATGGTTGCCTAGCCATCTCATTCATCTCTACTCTTTCTCTCCTGCAGTACGTCCGCTCACTTGCTCGTAAAAGTGCGTGCTTTAGAATACTTTCTATCAAACTTAGGTACTTGTCCAACGTAAGAGCCTTGCGGATTATCTTCTTAAACATTGGTTTAGAAAACTCAGAAAGTCTGAGAAAGCAAAGTCCCGTTTAATGTCATCAACTACATTATTTTCATTGACCTTCACCCTTTCTTCAATGTCAATTTCCGACATTGATATGTCGCGACGACCATGATCGGTCGGCTGGACTCTCTCAGCTGTTTCAATTTCTATCAACTGCGCGTGGCTAGCGGTCAAGACCGCTTTGTTACTGCAAATGAGAGCAATTGACAACAGGATTTGAAACACCTCATTAACGATTAGATCGATAATTTCGTGTTGAGGAAAATGCAAATCAATTGATCCAAAACGTAGGGACCATATTGCGCGACGACAAAGTTGGATTGCATCCTTGGATATGATTGCAATTACAGTTTTTGGAACTAAATTGATCGAGGCGATTCAATATTGGTGTGTATTACTTGTGTCCGATCGTGTCCTGTCTCATCAATACGAAATAATTGCGATTACTAGCGATTCCAACTTCATAAGGGCGAGTTTCAGAATAGAAGCTAATATTTTACGTTCAACTAATGTAAAATAAGCTACAGCAATTAATAAAGGTAAAACTAAAATTAAAAATTTTAAAATGGTATATATTATTAAACAATATTTTTGTTTAATAAAATAAAAAAAGCCCTTTTAGTCTAACGGTTAGGACATTGTCTTTTCACGTCAAAAATACGAGTTCAATTCTCGTAAAGGGTATAAATATTTCTTACCCTTTTTTCTTTTGCGCCGGCAACGAGAGTATCGACGACCCTCGAGCACCGCGTTCCTATTCTCAATGCGATAGTTCGACCCGGGATTTTGTTTACGGCTGCGGTCTTCGAGCCCTCCAGCTGGGCGCTCACACAGCTGGATCATCTTTACAAACAGTTCCTGCGGAAGACGTCCAACAAGATTGAGACCGGGAAACACAAAGTCGCTCCAGGCCTCCTTTATACCCCCCCGTAAGGCAGGCGGCATCGGTCTCGTTTCAATCCCCGTCGCCATCAAAACCCAGCGGGTGAAATACGTGCTACTGGCACTTACTCGGCCGGAGGATGTTTACTCCTCAGCGTGGGTGTCCTGGATTACGCATGGTGCAAACATCACGGCCATCAGTCCGCATCGACCGAGCGTAAACACGTTGTATCACCGTCTTCCGAGCGGTATCCTGACGTACTTCATGAGTTTGGATGCAAGGTGACGCCAACACCCGCGCAAACGGAGGACATCCTTGCACGGGTACAGGACCATCTACCGACCCTTCGGTCATCATCGACCAGCTGGTGGGATGAAAAAGACTGGGTGCTGCATCTCTCTGTACCCATTCCCTGTCAGCCTCAGACAGTCAAGTTTTGGCACCAGGAGATCGCAGACTTCTGGCAGACTTTCCGGTGGAGTGGAAACCCTTGGATTCTCACACCACAAGCATCGACGCTGTCCCGGTCCAAGTATGACAGAATTTGCGATGTCTCCTTTGAAACAATCCATATACAGCGGACAGGACCCCAGAAATACGTCTTCGGCGGCATTTGCACGGACCTCCTCGCCCCCCACCATTCCCTGCTAAACTTCGAGAATGGGCAATCATCGTCTTACTTTCGTCGCCGTCACTAGACGTCGAAAGTCCGGTGGGGTGCCCGGCCCCGCTCCGGCTACGGCGTCAGCCCTCTTTCACATAAGCCATCGCATGGGTGCAGGTCGGGCCGGGCAGGGTTCGGGGCACTTCTTCTTCTCTCTCTGCAGACTTTCCTCACCCTCAGAGTTTGGGAGCTCATTCAATGCCACAATGGTCTCACTTGGAGCTCGACGGGGAACCGCCGCCGGTCCAGGGGGGAACGCAGGAACTCACCCTACTCGCGGAGCGCAAGCTCATCCAGAATGGGGTCGTCTTTTTTTTTAATCTACAGGTCAATTAATATCCATGGTCTGCTCCGCCAATGGAACCCAATCGCCGCGTCGTCTCTTTCGTGAAACAGCAAGCGTTCAAGTCGTCTAAGCGGTGTCTTGACAACACCGTTGAAGCAGGTCATTGATAGACTAGGCACCAAGAGCCAGCAAACGCGGTGGCAACGTGCAGCTCTCGATGTCTCGCCGGGTCATATATGGGGTCACGGACACGCGGTGACGATATATCAGCAATGGACACGGTACCGCCACGCTACCGGTCAGCTAAACTTGTGGTATCAGGACCGGCCTCCGGACGGGACTTGCACGTATCGGGAATGTGTCGGGCAGAAGGAGGCCCAGGAGCATCTTTTCTGGGGATGTCCCCGTGCTCAAGCACTTTGGGCCAGGCTCATCAGTCATTGGAGGAGCACACCTCGTAAGCCTTACCACTTACTGAAATGGCTCAAATACTGCACAAACCGTAGCGTGCCCTCCCTTTCACCGCGGGTCATAGCAATGCTGTTAGCCCGCTACCCAGACGACATCGATCTATTATTCAAGGCCTGAAGGACGATATGGGAGGTCGCTCGGACCGTCATCATCACAATGCTTTGGCAGCAACGCGTGGACTGCGTTTTTCACAATGCGGACATCCCGCTGCAATTTAGTGAAGTCTTAATTTGGGGGCGGGTTCAGCTTCAACTGCGGCGCTTATTAAACGCCTCCATTTATTGCAGGGCTGACACGGCCGTGCGAGGTGCCCACGTTCTGCATGATAAGGCATTGGTGTAATATAACCGAGAGGGCAGGCCGGTTTTCATAGAAAGGCTGCCAGCCATGGACAATGCCTGGACCCTCCAGTGTTGCTACTGTGGTTAGCTACCTAATAGAAATCTTGCACTTACCTCAATCTGTTCTCTCTCTAGGCGCATGCTTGCCTGTACACAATTGGATCAGGCTCTCCAGAACAGCTGTTTATCAGTCGCGTTTTGATTTCTGTACCACATCCTGAGCACCATACATGACTTTACATTGTAGATACAGCATATGCGTTTGCTATCGAGTGGCTATACGGCAATGAGGTCTACCATGAAGAAAGAGCAAGCGATAACAGTTGTCATAAGCTACGGTGCTGCCGTGTAATATAAGATACACGATGGAACATATTGTCTATGCGCGCAAGCAGGCTGGGAAAGCTCATCTACCACTAGAGCTTGGACGACTTTAGGGCTTCCTAGACAACAGTGCAAGCCGACGAGCACCAGGGCTATCCACGGTAGTCCGTACACAATCAACCCTGCTTACCCCGACGAGGCGGGTG